TAAATACTGATGAAATATAATTAGCAAATGGTTAAGAGAACTATATAAAATAAAGGTTTTCTCACACCTACTAGTGATGGGGTGACTTGGGACAGGAGACTTGGGGTGAAATGGGACACTTTTCAATTTTATCAGTTGTTTAATTTGTTATGTTTTAATTTTTTCAATCAATTATTTTTGTAAAAAAACAAGTTAGCAGAAAATTATGTTTATATTTATGGGAAGATTTCCATGTTTACATGTTTATTTATGGCAAGATTTCCATGTTTTATGTTAATATGTTTTTTTTTCTTAGAAAAAAAAATAGTTCTATAGAATTTCTTTGAAACTTTATCTTGGTTGTTAAAGACATTTTTCACAGTAAGTATTGTTTTATAAAGAATATTTTTTAGCACTGTATTTATAATTCAGTTTAAATAAAGGTCTTTACTATTACCCTTTTTAAATTTAATCTCATAAGTTTTTAGGGTTGTGGTACTAATTTATTTTCATAAAATAATATGGATTTTAGTTTATGCAATTTTGAAAAAGCATAATTTTTGAATAATAGAGTGAGTAATGTGTGTAATATTTTTCAGATGCCAAGAAAGTGCAAACGAGTGACGAATCGGTTAAAGCCTGATGCTCAAACAATATAAGCCGCCGTGATGGCTGTTGAATCTGGTAGATTATCACTGCGAGCAGCTGCACTGGAATATAAAATTTCGAAATCAAGTTTACAGCGGAAAATAAATGTTAATAAAGAAACTTCTTACAATGACTTATACTTTGATGAACAACATAAATATATTTTTAATAAGGCGCAAGAAGATGAACTTTCAACTTATCTTCGTTAAGCATCTGATATGCATTATGGACTTAATGTTAGAGAAACAAAGCAACTTGCATATCAATATGCAATTAAAAATGACATTAAAATTAGGGTTGTTCGCCGAAAAACAAAACTTGCGAAAATTTCGCATCTTTATCTACCGTAATAGAATTGTTATTGCGGAAGTTGCACATGCAAAAATGCACATTCCGTAACGCGCTATACGAAAATATAAATAGTAAATAAAATTCCGTAATAAAGCATTGCGAAAGAAAACTTGCGAAACAAATCATTTCGTAAGAATACTTACGAAATAGTTCCTTACGGAAAAAGCATTCCGGAATGTGTAGTTACGAAAAAGACGCAAAAGATTTTATGTTACGATATATTTAAGATATTAACTGTTAACAGTTTAAATAATAAATAATAAAATTATAAAAAAATGTTGTCAAATGATTCTTCAAATTTTTATACAAATATACCTAATATATATATATATATATATATATATATATATATATATATATATATATATATATATATATATATGCATTAACGGGATTTTACTGTATATATATGTATATATTTGTATATATATATATATATATATATATATATATATATATATATATATATATATATATATATATATATATATATATATATACATATATATACAGTAAAATCCCGTTAAGTTGGACTCTCAATGAACAGATAAACAGTATGCCTTTCTTTTTAAAAAGTATAAAGAGGATGTGTGATAAACGATTAAATACTTTATTATAAAGAACGAGAGATCTCTCTAAAGGTAAATGATATCAGAAAGAGTAAAAAGAGAAGAAATATATGTGAAACAGCGGGATGTGAACCTGGGTCTACGCGGCCAAATGTCTTAACTGAATGAGCTATACGTTCATTCAACTAAGTGAATAGTAATATTTATTTAATATATAATTAAGAAACTATATAAAACAGAATTTACAGAAAGAGATACGTATGCAAATAGGATTCTATATATCAGGAAAATGAATAGTAATGTGAACCTTTAGATGCTTATAATTAATATCTGGACTCAAAAACTAGTTACTTTTAATGGAACACAATAGGCTGTAGGAGTCTCAGGGAAATTATATTCAGAAATGGTTATATTAGACTCAGAGTTAGCTAGAAATTATTACAAAGTATTTAGGACAGATGTCTAGTACAAAAAGCAAAAGATTTAAAGCAAAATGATTTATATTATTTGAAAAAGTTGTTTCACGTACATTTCATCATAATTTAAGTAGAACTTAGTAAAGCAAAGGAAACGTGTTGAATTAAGCACAATGAACTCAATCTTAAAAGAATAACTAACAGAAGAGAGGTTGTCACTATTGTGAAGGTGACGAAAGATCTGTAATATAGAACATGGAGGTCAAAAAATGCCATCTTAAGTAAAAAGAGTTTGATGAACAAAAGTTACAATGGCTGCGGGATGCGAACCCGGATCTCTGCGGCGAATTATCACGTATCTAACTGATTGAACTATACAATCTTATACTCAAATTTATATCTTATTAAAATTAAAAAACAATATTTTCTAAGATCTATACTTCGAAAAGCGTATTCAAACAGGACTCTAAAAATATATACATACCTTTAAAATCTGCTAGAACTTTAGTAACGTGCACACTTTTAGAAATTATTGAAATAGGTATATTTTATCAGAAATATGCTTAAGCTAAAGCATATTTTTGAGCCTCTTTTTACTATTTGCTTAAGCATATTCGAACCTGTTTCAAAAATTTCATATGCTAAAAAAAAAAAACATGTATATTCCTACCCATCATTCTTATTTTTAATATACGTAATGAGTTCAAAAAACATCGTTGTATATATTTATTATGGCACGTTTCGTAAGTTTATTTCCGTTAAGAATTCTTTCGTATGTTGTGATCCGAAATACTTTCGTTTCGAAAGAAATTTTATTTTTTATCAATATTTCTAAAAATAAAACCATATAAATTTAATAGTTATTATACTGAAAATAAAAATTCATTATAAACATTTTGGGATTTAAAGATGTTAATTTTTACAATTAAAATCAGTCTTGCAAACAAATTTTCTTTATAGACTTCAAAACGTCGTTTGGCGAAAATGTTTGTTTCGCAAGTGCGACTTCCGAAACCGCTACTTTCGTATGTTGCAAAATAGTTTTGTTTCGTATGTCAACTTGCGAAATGCTAAATTTCGGAAGTTTCAATCGCACCAATGTAGATACTTTCTTCAAAAACCTTGACAGTGTACAGAAGCGCTATAAGTTTTCTGCTGATTGCATTTACAATATTGATGAAACAGCTTTTACAACTGTTCATAAGCCAGTGAAGGTGGTTGCGGTAAAGGAGTAAAGCAAGTAGGACAGGTAACTTCTGCTGACCATTGAAGAAACTTACAGTTCAGCATGTGATTCATGGTTAAAGGCACATCCAAATACTCCTATGATGATATATGACATTTCTGAAAATTTAGGAATAGCTTATGCGAGAGCATTTACTTCCCAAAACATTCAAAATGGTTTTAAGGCAGCTGGCATTTTCCCGTACGATCCATATGTTTTTAGTGATGTAGACTTTTTATGTTCTTATGCATCTGATCAGCCAATTCCAGCAAATATCTCTACCTTATCAGCCAGTTTGTCCAGCAGTATTTCTCAACCGGTCCAAAAAACAATTTCTGTAAGTATAGCTAATGTATACGATCAGACAGACTAAGGCTTATAATTTAAGTAAATTATCTAATTCGCAAATACAAACGATCCATACACCACTATCTGTTGTATCAGAAGTTATTAATGACACGAAAAAGCAAATAAGCACTTCTGCCTACCATTGGACAGCAGAAGATATAAGGCCATTTCCAAAAGCGGGTGAGAGGGTGACAAAGAGAAAAAGTGCAAAAAGAAAAAATGTTCTAGGTCTCTGGTATTGACTGACACACCAACAAGAAATGAACTAGTTGTAAGTTTATTAGAATGTAAAAAAAAAAAAAAGGAAGATAAAAATAAGAAAAAGCAAAAAAGTTACCTCTTGAGACATAATAACGCAATATTGACTCTATTTAAAAATCAAGCGACCTTGTTGAACAAAGTTATAAATGCATTTAGAATATCTTATTTTAATTGTACACAAATAAATGTTGTGTATTGTTATGTTATATAAGAAGTAGAATAGACAAAAAAAAATAATGCTCAAAATTATTTGTTTCTAACTTGTCCCATTTCACCCCAACATGGGGTGACATGGGACAAACAGTATCACATTAAAAAAACGAGGCCGTGAACTTAATTTGATGGTTAAGTAATGGGTTTTTAAATAATTTCCCATGACAACTCATTAGACTATAGTTTTAAACCAAATTGTATGGTGTTTGACAAAAATATAAAGCGCGGCAAACAAACAAATTTTTTTGTTCCATCTCAACCCGTTCTTCCCTACAGGGTTATGTTTTGAAAAGAAAGATCTATACATTTTGAAGGTTAAAGTTAAGGTAATTAACAACCATCTTCAACCAAATTATTAAAAATTCATACACGTAATTTTAACTCATAAAGTCATTTGGTCATATCTAATACTGTTTTATATTCATAAATATAAAAGCAATAACAATTTTCTTACTATGAGCGATGTAAAAGTATTATACAATTTTTTTCAAGTTAATCAAAACAGCAGCTTAAGTATTGGTTACGTTTTTGAATATAACCAATATTTTTCTTTTTACCAATTCATAATTTAAGTGTAGCTATATAAATTTAAAAAATCATTTTTCTATTACCAAACACAATCAACAGACACAAAAATGCAGCATTAAGGAAAAATAAACACGTCTCTCACATCAAAGGTTTAGCGCTATGCATATAGATGTTATAAAACACTTAATAAGGCTAATGTCATTTTGATAATAATGAAACAAATAACTTTAAAAATAATACCCTGCTTTATGGTGTAAGTTTCCAATGTTCATGTAAAACAAGAGGAAAAGATTGTTTTAAATATTTAGCCTTTGAAGATGTGTCACAAATTTCTTTCTAGTGTTGGAGTAAGAGAGAGCTCGTAAACTAAAAATCTTTGCCCCATTTGTGTTAACTATAACCTTGGTCTATTTGTATTACTACTTAATAGTAATACAAATAGACTAAAGATAAACATTCTAATTGATATATCAGTTTATTGGATTTTTTGGCTAATTTATTTACAAACCTAAATTGCTTGTAGTAATTTGATATAAGCAACAAAACGCAGACAAAGTTTAAATCGTTTTTAAATTTAAATGTTCTTTATCACCATTATGGACGAAGCTTGCACAAACTCAAAACTGTTGTTCACTTATTATAAAAAACTCTCTATTTTTTTCCTTTAACTTTTGCTTGAACTTTGTTACCACTATATTCTTCAACTATTTTAGCTTGCGTAGATGCATTTGCTGCAGCATATTTATTAAATTCCATGCTAAATTCACCTTTTCCCTAAAAATTTAAAAAAGTTTGTTTTGATTAAACAAGTTTATGATTTAAGATTAGAATAGTAAGTTAAGGTGGAGTAAAACACGCTTTATCTAACATGCTAATATCTAACATTTTAAAAATATGGATTTGTACCTATAGTTATTCTATAACCTACATAAGATTGCAGCAAAAAATTAGTATTTGCAAAATTAAACTAACGATTTATTGCAGAGTTATTTTTTTCTATAAAACTTTATAAATAAAAATAATTGAGGAAACTTCTGCTTTTTGAATAAAATCTAAATTTTAGACATTTCTTTTAGCGTTTAAAAAAGTTGTTTTTTTAAAATTGTTTATCTTTTTGTAAATAAAAAAAAATAACGATAATGTAGTTAATACTCTCCTTATGCCCTTTGTATTTTTTTACCAAATAATTCAACTAAAATTTTATTTATATACCATAATCTTTGTTGAATATTTTTAATCACACAAATAAAAACACATATAAATTTTTTTTTCAAAAGATTCTTTTTGCATTTTTTTTCTTATATATGTTAATCGCAATTGCTTTGCATAAGTTGTTGATTTTACAGGTATTTAATTTTATTTATTATGAATTAGTTTTAAGGGTAATATAACTAGTTATATTTAGACAAAAAAACAAAACAAAACAACAACTATAACAAACAACAAAATAACTTTTTTTTTTAAAAACAATTAATTTGTTAAAAAACAAAAAACGAAAATAAACAAAGCGGTAGTTTAAAAATTGTTTTAAACCCCTCTATGACAATTTCTAAACCACGGTCGTTTTGCTTACCTACTAATTAAGTAAAAAAGTTAAAGTTTGAATTATAGTCGTATATATGAACTGCAAAATTTCAAGCTTTTATTAATGCGTTCCATTGAATTTAAAGTTATAATAAGTATAGCACCTACAATATTAAGTAAATTATTTTAAAATTAATTTTTGGATTTTCTTCGAAACTAACAACAACTATAAAAATAAAGGCGTTTTGTCCCACCTTAACTTAAAATTAGAATTTAAAATTTTTTAATTACCTGAGTAATTGAGCGTAATTCACTTGAATAACCAAACATTTCATTTAAAGGAACCTAATTTAATGAAAAAGATATTTCAATAAAAAAGTCATACTCATATAAAGTTCATATGCCTAAAGTTTAAAAAAAAAAGGATCACTCAATAGAAGTAAATTAAAAAAAAATAAACCATGCGTCAATCTATTATGAAGCTGCAAGGTTAGTATAAAAAATAAAAATAAAAAATTTGTTTTTACTTTTTATTTTTTTACACTTATTTGAGTACAACATATCTAGGTCAAAAAAATTAAATTTCATTTTTAGAACTACTCAGTGTAGTTAAGACGATCTTAAAATATTTAATATACAATAAATCTGTATGATATTTCGCTGACCACGAATAATTCTGTATGATATTTCGCTGACCACGACATACTTCCATTAAATGATGGAAGTATGTCGATGTATCTATCACTGAATTATGACAAGACGAAAAAAAATTAAAATGATAGACACTTGAATTTTCCGTAGCATATGAATCGCAAACTTGAAAAAGGGGAGATGTCCTGCAAAAATTCACATAACATGTCCCCTTTTTCAAGTTAGCGATTCATATAAAAAAGTTTGTGGAGGAAAAATCCAGACCAATCTCCTAAAATCACGATTGCTTGTCCAGATTTGAATACGATTTTAAATAAATACGTTTTTTAGGGGAAGTGAACATCATAGTTTAATAATATGATTTAATATGATCGTTTATTAGCAGTTTTTCCTAAATATTAGCTCTTTCTTTGTCGGAATTCTTAAATTTTGGATAAAAATTGATAGAAGTGTTGTAATTCGAAAACTATATTTAATCAATATGTACTAGAACAGATTAGATCTAGGATCTATAGTGGTTTTTAACGCACTTTTTCAAAATTTTTTAAATAAAACCAGGTTAACCCTGTTGAGCAAAACTAATCTTAAAACTCAAAAATTTTTAGCTTTACTATTAAGGGTAGTACAAGAGTATTACTATTAGGGTTAGTACAAAAGTATCACAATAGGGGTCAGGGTTAGGGTTTGGGTTACAATAGTAAAATAGTACAATAGTGCGTCATTAGTGTTTTTTAATAATAACTTTGAGCCGATTGAAAATAAAAACGATTTAATGAACTAAAAGCAAAAAATTCTTTCCTGATCTCCATATGTAATTTGTAGATTACTGAAAGAAAGAGAAAAATTGAAGTAAAACCATTTAATTTGTTTTGTTTTAAACAGTTCTAAATTGCGTGAAAATGTATTTTTTCAATTAAAAATAAAATGTTGTTAAAAAAACTGAGTGCTAAGGTCTCAAAAGAGAATAAAGTACATTGAGACTTTATCTGAATTGAAAAAAAAAAAAATTATATCATTTGTACGCTCAGATTTTTAGATTTTTTTTTTTTTTTTAAATTTGTTTTTAAAAGCATAAACAAATTGTGCTAATTTTTCTGTTTCATCAACAATTCCCTAAAACCTTCCATCTGCGTATTCAACTTCTTGAATAATATAAATTTTATCAAATAATAAATTTACAATTTTTTTTTATTGGTCAAAGACTGTATTCTTTTTTCAAGATAAATTTTATTTTCATTATTTATCAAACTAGATTCTGATATTAAATTAGATAGTCTTTTTTATTCAAGTTTTTCCCTTTCCTAAAAGTTATGTTTTAAAAACTGATTTAATAATAAAATAATAAAACTTCAATTTATACCAAAAAATAAATTACAGGAAGTCATACATTTCTTTTCCACTTATTGAAACAATTATTGGACAATTGTTTTTTGTTTGTTTACAATAACAATTTTTAGTAATTTTTTCATTTAGGATTTCTTTTTTGTTTAAAAAGCATCTTTGTGATGCTCTATTATTCTTTCCATATTTTTTGTGCAACTGAGACTAAGTTTAATTGTTACTAAGCAACTGTAGCTAAAGTTAATTGAATTTTGATTAGAATTTTTATGTAATTTATCAGAGGGTGGGATGTGTATTTACTTGATGTCACATTTAACTTCTCTGTTATTATAAACCTTTAACAAACCAAATGATGAATTATTGTATATTAATATTAAATTATCTACTCCTAATTTCAATAAATAACAGACTAAACCAAAACTTCTCTGATGAAAATGTATTCAATTCCTTTGCCATATTCAGAAACTTAGATCTCATTTATTTTAATACTATTGTAGCAGTATTGTTTGATACAAACTGATCTTGAAACATAATTGCAAATAGATTACCTTGCTTTACATTTACCTTTGCACTTGATAAACAGTTCTTTTAATTTTATGCAATTTTTTTATTCATTCGCTAACTTATTTTAATAACCTTTTCTTTCACTTGATATGAACTCTTCCTCAACTTTCTTTGTCCTCCAAGGGACACATTGAAATTTCTTTTATATAGAAATTTGCTTCTAAACTGCTGGCGGGTTTGTTTTTTATTAAAAGGTATTCTTTATTTATAGAAAAATGTTTCTTTGCTTAAAATCGGCTAATATTGCTTTTGTGGGTTTGTTTAAAATATTTTTTCAATACTTACTTTTTGAAAATTTTTTTTAAAAATAAACTTGAAAAATACAACTTATAATATAATTTTGTCTAATATTAATATAAAAATATATTACATATGTGGGAGGACGAAGGTGGCATTGCAAATAAAATATTTGTACGATATTTGTATGTTATTTTACTTTTATATAAAATATTTTTATCCTTTAAAAAAATATATTCCGGTCTTTTAATCCAGAAGGCTTAATAAACCCGAACCGGCATAAGTGCAAACTAGCATAAGTGCAAGGCATTACAAAAACTGGCACAAGTGCGAATTATAATAAGTTGCGTTATGCCAATATTTGCAATTTTATTCTTATTTTTACTTATGCAAGTTCGCACTTATCACATTTCGCACTTATGCTAATGTTTGCAAATTCTTTTGGCTCACTTATGCCAGTTCGCACTTATGCCAGTTCGCTCTTGTGCCAGTTTTTGTAACTTATGCCAGTTTGCATTTATGAAATTTGTGCTTATTCAGTCGCCCCCTTTAATTAGGAAATACTCTGTTTCTTTAATAAGGATAAAAATTTATTTTTTTTTTTTTTTAATAAGGATTTAATTTCAAATGTCTTGACATTGCTATATATCATGACTCTCTGTAAAGACTAAAAAGAAGAAAATAAAATATAGCAATTACATTTGCTAAAAAATTTAATATTTTATAATCTTTTCTTTCACTTGTTTAATTTTTTTCCTTAACTTTTTTTGTTGTCCATGACGCTCTAAAAAATAAACTTTTTATAGAGAAATTTGCTACTAAATTGCTCGCCGGTTAGTTACATTAAACTTAATTATTGTATAACAAATCTTTTCTTTTTTTTTTATTTGCATTTTTTTCTTTTCTAAATCTAAGATTAAATGTGATGGTGGAAAGCCATAGAAGAGTTTTTATTAATTTGCTCTAAAAAGTCATCTTAGATATTATTAATGATAGCAAGTCGAAAACTTAAATTAATGATTTCAAATTTGAGATATTAATCCCATTCCCCAAAAATTTATAAATAATTCTGGAAGTGGTCAGAGAGCTTGTTTTTAAATCTTCTAAAAGATAAAAAGCATATTTTGCTAGTTGACTTCAATTTATTCAAGTATTTCTTTTTCACATTCTTTCTTAATTTTATAATTGGATTCAATTTTCTTATTTTAAATTAGTGACATTTTTTTGACTTGTAGAATGCAATAGTGGTGCAATGGTAAAGCGCTTGCTTCATAAATAAGAAGTTCAAGTTCAATCCCCACCCTGGCCCTGATAGTACTGTGCTCAACTTATTTCTTTGTGCAGTGGCCTTGTTTGTCAAGGTTTGTATTTTAGAGTTAAAGAAACAAGAGAGGGTTGTAACCACAAAAAGTAGCTTTCTTAATTGTAGTGGCCTTGGGGAGGTGAATAACTTAATAAAAAAAAGTCAAAACAAAATGGACATACGCTATACACCAAATAATTGTTTTTATTTTTGAATTATTTATTAACTTAAACATAAATGACAGCAGAGTAATAGATATAATTTTTTTTATATTTTGATCAAACAATAATCTAAATAAATAGTATGTTGGTGTTGTTTTTATTATTATATGCTTGCATAAGCATGCGTATGTTGATTTTTATAAACATTAAGTTTAAAATATTTTTAAAAAAATGAAAGCATATGATAATCATACACTATGATAAACATTCAAAAACTGGAATTCTCAAAGGTGCTTATCAAATGTATAAAAACCATTTAATGAGGTTATTGTGTTATATATATACATACATAGATTGTATTTGTGAATCTTTTAAAACGTTTTGCATATTATGCGTTATGAAAATTTTGAATCAGACTCTAGTATGTTTAAAGCTTACCCAAGTCTAGTTCAAAAATGTCATATGCTTTTTTTATTTAAAAAAATGCTGACCCTAATTTCGAGGGCTGATATATATATATATATATATATATATATATATATATATATATATATATATATATATATATATATATATATATATATATATATATATATATATATATATATATATATATACACACATATACATATATTTCAACTAACTTGATATTAAAATAAAGTTCAAATATTAAATTTTGTAGAGTTTATTTTTCAACTTTTATTTTATTTAAAATATTATTGACAAACTATTTAATTGTTAAAACATATTGTATTTTATTTGTTTTTTAATATTTAAGAAGACTTAAACATATACCTCAGCATAAACTGTGAAGTATTCTTCAGAAGACTCTGTACCAGTGACCATACCTTTCCTTTTATTTAACCCGGCCATCACAGAGCCCTAAAAAAAACAACAAAGCTTTTTGTTTGTAAAAAAGTTTTAAATTTACTTAAAACCTTTTTTAAAAATTATCAGTTTACTTGTGTATCACTTGGGGCTACTACTTCCACAGTCATTATTGGTTCTAATAACAGTGGAGCTGATTCCTCAAATGCTAAATAAAAATATTTTTATCAAAAATTATTACTTTTTCATACACACTTTGAAATGAAATAAACCAATAAGAAAAAACGATGATAAAAACACCAGGGTGAAAGGAATGTCAGGAATAATAATGCAGTATAAATGCAATGCAATTTGGTACCTGCCATACACAGTTTTAAAAAAAAAGGAATCATCCATGGAGTATATAAAGCCTAATCACATTGTATTGTCTAATTTAAGGATATTTGTATTGCAATTGCTAAGTAAAACAAGTGTATGAATAAAAAATTAAAGGAAAATTGGAAAAATTTGTTCAATTCAAGAAGTAAAGTGAAAGGTTGATAAAATTGAAAACTTATTACTTTTTAAAATGGATTAAAAATTAAAATAAATATTTGTACATATTAAATGTGTTTAAAGGAAAAAAAAATTAGAATTATAAAATTTTTTTGAAAGCAGAACATATTGGTAAGTTTATTTTATAAGAGGTAACCAAGGCTTTAAAATACATTTCTATTTAAAGCACCAAATTATTGAAAGCAATCATAGCTATATATCACTCAGGACAAAAAGACTACTTTTTAATTTGAAAAGCAAACACCCATAGAGTAGAATTATGTCAATCATCATATTGGCAATCCTTAAAAACAATTATCATATTGGTAATTCTCAGTAATAATCATTATATTGGCAACTCTCAGTAACAACCATCATATTGGCAATCCTCAGTAACAATCATCATATTGGCAATCCTAATTAACAATCATTATATCGGTAATCTTCAGTAACAATCATCATATTGTTAATCCTCAGTAACAACCATCATATTGGCAACTCTCAGTAACAATCATTATATTAGTAATCTTTATAAATAATCATTATACTAGCAATCCTCAGTAATAACCATCACATTGGCAATCCTCAGTAACAACCATCATATTGGCAATTCTCAGTAACAATGCTGCCACTACAAATTTAACTAAAAACCTGGCTTTTGCAGCATGCAAAAAAGTCATTAGAACACACAAATGATCTTACACAAAATTTTACACTAAATGAATTTACAAATTAGACTCAATTAAAATTGCAATAATGTATTTTTATAATCACACGTACTTTTACAATCACAACAAAACATTTTTACAATATTTGATTATTGTTATCACAGTAGTTCAAGATGCGTCAACAAATTGAAAAACAAATTTAAATAATATAAATACCAAATATGAAGAATCACGTAGACTCATTAAAAAAAAAAAGATTTATATGTAGAACCATTAAAAAAAAAGATATGTAGAACCATTAAAAAAAAGATGATTAGTATTGGTGTGATAATGATGAGTAATTGAAGATTAAAATTAATTAAACAAATGAAAATTATAAATGAAATAATAAAACAAACATATGGCAAATCAAGTAAAGAGTAGACAAATAAAATGAAGCTAAAACATAACAAAATATAACATAAACAAAAGCACACTAAAATTGTCTATGATGAATGTTTCTGAAATTCTTTATATACATTTCTCCAAACCTATTTGCTGAATAGAATGTAGAATTAAAGATATATATTATACCAAAGTCTTTTTATAACTAAAAATTATAAAATGAATTATTAACTAGTATTATTTGTTAAAGAAAATGCTAGTTTTGAGACATTGGATTATTGCCATAAGTACTTTTATGCTGATGAACATAAAAATAATACCCTTTCGCATAGCTCCTATGGCAGCCAACCTAAATGCTAGATCATTAGAGTCAACAGCATGTGCAGCACCTAAGGGAAAAAAAAAATTAAAATCAAAACAATAGTTAATTAAAATGCATAAAAAACTTAGTTTACTTTTATGAACTTAGGACAGAATTATTTTATTAAGAACTATTAATTCTGCAAAATACTTTAGATCTACTTATAATTTGATCAAATCATAAAATCCTGATTTACCAAGTATTTACTTATAATTTGATCAAATCATAAAATCCTGTTTTACCAAGTATTTACTTATAATTCGATCAAATCATAAAATCCTGATTTACCAAGTATTTACTTATAATTCAATCAAATCATAAAATCCTGATTTACCAAGTATTTACTTATAATTTGATCAAATCATAAAATCCTGATTTACCAAGTATTTACTTATAATTTGATCAAATCATAAAATCCTGATTTACCAAGTATTTACTTATAATTTGATCAAATCATAAAATCCTGATTTACCAAGTATTTAAGCATCTGGATCTTAATCTACAGTATGTTTTAAAAAAAACTAAAAAACTAAAATATAAAGCAAGAAAAAGAATCAAGATCTAGATAAAAAAAATTTGATTTTAAAAACACAATTCTATTTATTCCATGTCTTAAGTGTTCAGAAATTCCAAAAATGTTGAAAAGACTAATAAACTACTTTTTTTTTTTTGGGAGGAGGGGGGGGGGGGGAAGGGAGGAGGGTCATTTAAAATACAGGATACAACTATTAATTTTGAGCTTAGTTGGTTGCAAATTTTTAAATTCCATAATTTTTTTTTTCTATATAGTCATTAAGTCTCTTAACATTTATGGAGCTCCTAGACACAAGAAAACAGGAACAGATAGTGATTCAAAGCTGGAGTTCTTTTGGAAATTCCTAATTCTGTTTTATATTTATAACAATATTAATTTTATACTTAAACAAAACATACCATCTTCAAGTATGAATTTTAGCCCACATATTTTATGACCAGATAAAAATCCACGATCACACGCCTCATAAAATCCCTGACAATTAAAATAACATTTGAAAGAATTTTAACAAAACAAATAAAAGAAACAATTTAGCTTTTAATTGTTAAGCCATTATTTAATCTGAAATAGGATTGATTATGATTGACAAATAACTCATATTAAAAAAAATGATAAGAAATAAAAAATATTTAAAGATGATTTTAAAAGACAACAAAGTTAACAATTTTTTTACCTTTTCAATAGCTGGGATGAAATTTTTTGGAATGGCCATTCCAATGGTGCCATCTTCAAACTCAACTTTTGTATTATCACTTTCCTTAGTGAATTTCTAAAACCAGATTTTAAAGCAATAAATAACTAATAACGGATTAGAAAAGCACAACTTTAACTACGTGATAAACTAAAATTTGATTACTCAATTTTAAAATACAGAATTTTCTTTTTGCATCTGCAATTTAAAGTTGGCTTAATACTAATATATTTCGCTCACATAATTTTGACAAAGGTGTGACTTTAATCCAGATCTTTTTACAGATAAAGAAAAAATAATAATAATGACCGAAAAAAAAAAAAAAAATTTTCCAAGTAAATGTACTTTATATGAACATATGCCCTGCGCAAACTCCAGTTGATGTATGTATTAAAACTCTAACAGATAGCCATTTCAATATGAAGTCATCAACGGCCATTCATGTGCAGCTACATAAACATATACTGGTATAACAATATGCGTGGCGTTTAGTACATACATTAAAGGTTTGAGCTTGGAAAGTAATATGTATGTAAGAATGTATCTCTAAAACTATTATCTCATTCTTCTTTACCATCAGAATCCCCCTATCATCGTACATCTTACAACTACCTTAAAGCTGACTGGGACTCTTTCCGTGACTTTCTTCGTGATGGCCCTTCGGTAGAAATCTTTCATCTCCCTGTTGACAAATGTGCTTCTTACATAACTTCGTGGATTCAGGCTGGCATGGAATCCTTTATTCCCTCTCAACGATTCCAGCTCAAGCCTCACTCTTCTCCATGGTTTTCCTCACATTGTGCTGCTGCAATTGCCAATCGAAACCATTACTTCCATATCTATCAGCAAAACAATTCTCCAGAAAACAGAGGTCTGTTTATTACTGCTAGGAACCATTGTAAAAAGGTTTTGTCTGACGCCAAAGCCCGCTATTCTCAGATCATGAAATCTCGTATTTCATCACAAAAATTAGGCTCTCGTGACTTCTGGAGAATCTTTAATAGTATCAATAATAAGGGCAAGTCTGTAGTTCCACCTTCTTTGTATGATTCAGACTTTGTCACCTCACCTAAAGACAAAGCTGAATTGTTTGCCAAGAACTTTTCATCAATATCATCTCTTGATGCCACTAGTTGCATTCTACCAGATATAGCCATCAAACAGGTTGATCCATTGCTTGACATTCGTATCACTCCAGCTTCTGTATCTAAAGTGATTTCCCACTTAGACTCCTACAGCTTGCGGCCCAGACAACATACCTGTTATAGTCTTGCAAAAATGTTCTCCGGAGCTGTCGTCTATCCTTTAAAAACTATTTAACAAGTGTTTATCAGAGTCTTGTTTTCCAGCCTGCTGGAAAGCAGCATCTGTTATCCCTATTTTAAAAATTCTGGAGAGCGATCCGATTGGTCTAACTACTGTCCCATTAGTCTTCTTCCTATCATAAGCAAGGTTTTTGAATCTTTAATTAATAAATACTTAATCTGTCATCTTGAACCTAATAACTTACTTTCTGATCATCAATATGGATTTCGATCTTCTCGTTCTACGGCTGATTTGCTATCAGTAATAACTGAGAGGTTTTATCGCGCATTAGATAAAGGTGGAGAGGTTAAGGCCATTGCTCTTGACATTTCTAAAGCGTTTGATAAAGTTTGGCATGCTGGTCTCCTCCATAAGCTTTCTTCTTATGGTGTATCTGGAAACATCTTTAAGATTATTGAATCCTTCCTTTCCAATCGTAGTATAAAAGTTGTCCTTGATGGACAGCACTCTTCTTCTTATTCTGTAACCTTAGGGGTTCCCCAAAGTTCAATTCTTGGCCCTATGCTTTTTTTAATTTACATTAACGATGTTCCAGATATTCTCACATCTAAGGTGGCATTGTTCGCTGATGATACTACCATTTATTCTTGTCACGATAAGAAGCCAACTCCCTCTGATTGCTTGCAGGGGGCATCTGAGTTTGAAAAGGACCTCACTTCTGCTACAGCATGGGGCTCGCAGTGGCTGGTGAACTTTAATTCAGATAAAACTCTTTTTTGGTCAATCGTTATCGCAATAATTTAGACCTTCCTATATTTATGAAGGGTAATGTACTCGATGAGTCTCCTACCCTTCATCTTCTAGGATTAACTCTTAATTCTGATCTTTCTTGGAAACCTTATATCAAATTCGTTCCAAAATTAGCATCTGCTAAAGTTACTTCTCTTTAACAAGCTCGTCACTTTCTTACTCTGGATTCTATTATCTATCTCTATAAATCTCAAATCCGGCCTTGTATGGAATACTGTTGCCATATCTGGGGCGGATCTTGGAATGATGCCCTTTCTCTTTTAGACAAGGTGCAAAAATGCATTGTAAACATAGTTGGACCTGCTCTTGCAGCCAACCTTCAACCTCTGTCACATCGTCGTAATGTTGCTTCTCTTTCTCTTTTCTACAAATACTATAATGGGCACTGCTCTAAAGAGCTAGCGCCTCTTGTGCCATCTACTAAAATTCATTCTCGTGTTACTCGTCATTCAATTAAGTCTCATGCTTTTTCTGTTATTGTTCCTAAGTGCTCCAAAAACTCTTATTCGTCTAGTTTTTTTCCTCAAACATCAGTTCTTTGGAATTTGCTTCCTTCATCTTACTTTCCTGATTCATATAATATGCAATCTTTTAAATCGTCTGTCAATCGTTATCTTGCTCAACAATATTCATCTTTTCTCTTCCAGTAGCTTCCAACACTTATTAGCTTGCAGCCTTGTTGGAAGCGAAGATAATTAAAAAAAAATATATACATATATATAAATATATGTGTATATATATATATATATATATATATATACATATATATATATATATATATATATATATATACCCTTAGATGAAGCAATTTAAATGAAAAAAGTTTTCAATAGCAACATAAATTACAACTTAAAATGCAGTGAATTGTTTGGAAATATGAGAGTAATTTTGTTTAAAAAAAAATCACTACCTCAATACGCCCTATAATTTTTGCAAACTGCCCAGCTCCACCAGATTGTTTCTTGTGCTGATATTCGAACCTTGACAAATATAAAAGCTATATATGCATGTGGAAGTGTGTATGTATGTATATATATATATATATATATATATATATATATATATATATATATATATATATATATATATATATATATATATATATATATATATATATATATATATATATATATATACATTTTTAAAGTCAGCATCAGGTCGCCAAAAATTATTTCATATAAAGGTCTGACCATAAAACATAGAAACGTCAGCAATTTTTTGTCTTCAGGTTTGTGGTTGCTTAATAAAAATAAAAATTAATTTTTGTGAAGACATTTGAAAACCAACTCTGTTTTTTTATCAAGTAGCTTTTCCGCAATTTTACAAAGTAAAATTATTAGTTAGTCATATAAATAAAGTACACATTTTTTTTTTTGTGTTGTTGTAAGCATGGGCTCTTTTTTTGTTAGACCAAGTTAATTTATTTGCTTTTTTGAGTTTTTCCCTAGTTTCCATATATATTTTGAGTGAGTGGTTGCATTTGAAATTTTTTCATTTGTAAATGATTACTTGTAGTTTGCATATCTCTTTTTCCACACAGCCTCTAATAAACCAATGTATGCTTTGCTGGGTGTGTTTGGGGAAGATATTATGCATTTGTAAATTACATTTGTAGCTCAACACTATTTAATCAGCGGGCAGATTTCTTTTTGTTTGAAATTACAAGGTAAATTTTCAGTTGCATTTTTTGAATTTTTTGTTGTTGTTATGACTTTTTTTGATTTTTGAAATGTTGTTTGAGCAGCTATAGCTAACTTTTATGGTGTTTCAATTGAATAGTTTATGCAAAGGTGGGAAATGCTTATCTATTAATTGCAAAAAGATTTGGCCAACATTGGTAGAGAGGCTTTTATTGTATGGTGGGTTAAACCAAATTACATTCCTTTTCCTTTTAGAAGTGTCTTTAAGTTAAAGTTTTAAAACCATTTTGTTTAAGTGCTTCTTCGTATTCTGTTTTTGACGAGTTAAATGCTTTTTCATCAGAAGAATTTTGTGATATATATTATAGCTCTGACTCAGTTTATTATAGCATATTATATTTTAAAATTATTATTATAGCTGTGACTAAATTCATTGAGCACTTTCTTGATAGAAAATGCACTTTATCAATTCATTGAGCACTTTCTAGATAAAAAAAACTTATATTGTGTATTTAGATAACCTGTCTAATTTCATACTGAAATAGCCTGCTGCCATGGACTTCGTACATACATTGACAGACTAAATAGGTAGAACATGTAAGAAGTGCCACTCAATGAACTAAGTTTGGACTGGGGAACCAATTTTAAAATAATTATTAATTTATTTAATGTTAATATTGTCTTTTTGACAACTTATATTATAAAATATATTTGAGGAGAGTATTTTATTGATTTTGAGAACTTTTTATACATACTTTTTATACATACAAACATATTTTTTGATTTATATGCAATCAATTTATATATCAATGTCAAAAATGTGAAAGAAACTATTTTTTTCTATGTGATATGCTTGTATGAAGCAGAATTAGGGCTTTATACTGCCTGACATTAAAGACTATTCAGATATGAAATATTGAATATGAAATTCAAAATATTTGTATATATTTGAATAAAGGGATAACAAATAAGAATTTAAAGATAAAACTTAATTTAAAACTAAATCCAATATTTATAACGTTTTGTAACTTAACTATTTAATTTTGCGTATTTATTTTAATTATATACATTAATTTGAACTCATTATGTATAAAAATTCATCTTATGATTTTTTTACAACAATTTAGCAAGATTTCCTTAAAAAGATTTAGTTTAAAACTGTTGATAAGAGCTTAAACTGTAAATTTAAAACTGTTGATAAACCCTTCTTATAAAAATTTAATTAAAGTTGTTGGAAGCGCCACATACAAATTAATGAGTCGATAAAAAGTAAATAGATGTTATGAATATCATAAAAAATAATTATTTGATAAATAGTATATAACAAACAAATAAATATTTTAATTGTTTAAAATTTTATATAATTAAATTTTATATAATTTAATTGTTTTAATTTAATATAATTAAAAAACATAATTTTAGGCACATAATTTAATTAAAGGTTTTTCTAGCAATTGCTTACAAGGCAAATAAAATTAAAACTTATAACTTAATTTTTTTCTTTTCTTAATAAAAGGTTTATTTTTGTTTACTAATTGAATATATTTGAAAACTTAATTTAGTTTTAACATACTTGACCATAGATTTACCCATAGTTTCCCTAAAAGCAACTTTGGGTTTACCAGTGCTAACTTCACAATTGTACTCTGTCCTCATTCGCTGCAAAGTAAAAAATTTCAACAGTAATAAAATACAAACAATTGATTGATAACCAAATTTTTGAAAAAAAAGGAGAGTATTTAGTTTTAACATACTTGACCAAAGATTTTTGATATATACCTCTGCATAAATCTCTAAGTGTAACTCTCCCATACCAGATATGATAGTCTAAAATAAACAATATTGCATGTTACTGTAATTACATGTTGCTGATTTTAATCAAATTTTTGCCACTTCCTAAACTCTATGAAACAGGTTCACGCTTAAATAGACAGTTGTAAAAAATCTGTGTTAAATCCACATCATGTCAAGTTTTGAAAAAAAAAAATTTTATAGGCTATTGCCAGATGGTATAATGTTGGCTTCAGGTGAGTCAATGAGAGGTATTAAGATTAGCTATAGGAGGTTTAGTGCATAATTAGTTATAGTATAAACACCTCAAACAAACAAAAAAGCAAAAAAAAAAAAAAACAAAACAAAAAAAAGGGAAGAATTTTAACTTATTCTGATATTTTAAAATAAAAAATATAATTGATATTTTAAAATAAAAAATGTCAGATAAAATAAAAATGGTTGATTGTATGTAGAGACATAAATAGGTATGTTGATGAAACCACAAACGGCTTTAAAAAGGGTGCAATGTGAAAACAAGTTTTTTATAAGAAGTATTATAATAGAAACCTTGTTAGACTTTTTACATGGAATTGGCACTCTGCTATACATGGTTTATCAAAAAAGATTAACAGAAAACAACTTAATTCATGTGATTTTAAGACAAAAGTAGGTTGTCTTAATCAGAAAGCACTATAAGTGAATAAAATACTAAATAACAAAATACGAGGTGAAGCTTGCACCACACATTACTAATTAGTTATTTGTGACATTAGTGAAAAATTTGAAAATAGGTGAAATTTGTAGGCGCAGAAATTAGGAATTGAAAGAAAATGAAGTACATAACCATCTTTAAAAAATAATAATCAAGCAAAAACAGAAATTAGGTCAAATAGAAATTTTGATAGTATATAGAAAAAGCATAAAGAAAAGCTTTGATTAAGTGTGTCAAAAAAGAAAGGGTCCTCAAAAAAACAAGCTAAAATAAAAAAAATAAAAGTTCGATCAAACGAGAAGCAGTTTTTTGGTGAGTTAAAAAAAAAAGGAATGCAATATTTTAAGTTGTAAAGTTAAATGGTTTGGAAAAATGTTGTTGGAGAAAGTTGTTTTAAAGGACTAGTCAGAAAAATACAAATAAAGTTAAGAGAAAAACAATGTGGAAGACTAATTTAAAAAAAAAAAGGCAAATTAATAGTTTATTTGGGATAAATGTTTATCTGCAGCAATTTAAGTTTATGGACCAAATAACTTGTAGTTTAGTAAAAACAATTAACTTAGAGTGCCTAGTTAAGTAAAGCTCATAGTTCCAGATGATAGATGGTAGTTTTAAACTCTGTAATCTTGTTTACAAAGTAAGGCTTCACCACTACACCATCATCATATTTAACATTTCTGATCTGTTGATGTTTGATGCAGACCTTTGAATATTTTTTGACAGAGTACTAAACTAATGTGGTGGACATGGTAATGTGGTGGTTTGGTCGTGTTAATGTGGTGATCATTGATGCGTTTAGGTGTGAAGAACAGCCAAATATTATCAACATCAAATGTTATCATGCATAAAAATGCCACAGCAGCAATCAAAAAAAAAAAAAGGAGAAATTGGAAATTAAAAGTTTCAAAATAAGGATGTATCAGGGTTCAGTGCTCAGCCATTTATTTTTCTAATTTTTTTAGAGCTTCTTTCCAAAAAGAGCTAAATAACTTATGCATTATTACAGAGACAGAAGTCAGAATTTAATACAATAATTTCAGTGTTGAAAATATAGAACGAAACTAAAATGCTTTGAACAAACATAAATAAGACAAAGGCTATGCATTGCAAAGTCAAGAATTTCAAGAAGATTAAAGTGGTTACTTAAGTAGAAGCAAACTCTATTATTTGAACAGTTTGTAAGTCATGAGGTTAGTGAGAAATGTAGTTTATAACTTTTTTTGAATACAAAATCAAAAATAAGATTGAAATAGATGTGGAAAGATAGTGTGTTAGTAATTATTTTGTTATAACTACGAAACAATCAGATCAGCTAGTAGATCAGAATAGGCATCAAGGGCAAGGGTAAGCCTTGGATATTAAGGCTAACTACTAACAGTAAAATGTTGAAAAAAAAAAAAAAATTAAAAAAATTTGCTACATGGGCTAAGAGTGTTAAAGTGTATTACAGTGAAAAACAAGCAATAAAGGTTAAGAATGTCTAGAGATTCGAAATAGTGAGTGTATATGATAAAATGCGACAGGGAAGAACAAGGTGATTTAGGCATATAGATGCAAAAGATTGGATAAAAACATTTAGAAAGTTTTAGAAGAAAAAGGTAACAAAAAAGTAAGAAAGTTTGGAGAAAAAACTTCAAAAAAAAAAATTATACATAAAATTCTTGATCACTTAAAATTTAATATAAATTTGAAATGTATTTGCTATTTATTATATGAATATCTACAAATTATTAAACTACTTTCTATTTGCTATTTATTATATGAATATCTACAAATTATTAAATTATTTTCAAACATCATTTGATATAATTTATAGAGCAAATTAATGTCAATATAAAACAGAGTTGCTAGTCCTTGGACTGTATAATCCTGTAAAGTATAGCAAAGTCTTGTATAGTATAGTAGAAGTATAGTTAAAAAGCAAAAAAATAAAAAAAAAAAATTTAAAAAGTAAATCAGTGGCTCTTAATTTTTTTTCTGAGGATCACAACTAGGCATATATTGTCATTTAATTTGAGCAGTGTTTTTAACTTTTTTCAGAAGTATATTTTATTATTTATAACTTAAAATTCTTTAAACTTTGAATTTTAAATATCACAATACATATATAAAATCTTTGAAGTCTTTGACATTTTTAAACTTTTAAAGAACTAAAAGTATGAAAAAGTGAAAATAAAGTGAAAGTGAAAAAAAGTGAAAGTGAAGTCTTGAAATATAGTAGAAAAGCAACAAAAAAAAAAAAAAAAAAAAAAAAGAAGTTGTTTATAAGAAATTTTTTTTTCAATTAATAGTTACTTTCTTTTTTAAAAATAATCTCTTTTTTAGTCGCCTTTTTTTTTTTAATTTATAGTATAATATTTATTATACCAAAATAGTAATCAAGACACACACAAAAAACTTATTTACAATATAAGTTTTCTATAGTATTTTAATGATATTAAATTATTATTTATAGGTGCATACAACAAATAAGAGAAAATACTTTTTGTGAAATGAAATATTATAAACTTTTTAAAACAATCCTAAAAAAAACATTTGCTGCTTTAGGTGTAATTAGCACAAAAAAGTAACAGAAAAGTTTAAAATGTATGCATAAAACCTCTCTACTTTCTGGGTCAAAGTTCACTCTAAATGTTGGATCTTCTCTTGTAAATCGATTGATGGCTTTTGAAAAATTTTCAATATCACCCTAAAAAATAAGATTGGATTTTTTTGTAATCATTATCATCACAAAAAACACAAAATAAAAAAATTAATAAAGACCTTATTTTTTGGTTCAATAGCCAAAGATATGACAGGATCAGGTATATATATTGACTCCTAAAACAATATAAAAGGAAAAATATACTAACTCTTATTAATAAAATATAACAAAATCAGATAAATATATATATACAAATATTTTTTTTATAGTAGTGTCCAAAAGTTTGCAGACAGGCAAAAAATTTTTTTTTACAGATTTTCAGTGAATACACCACTAAAACCATCATATTATATACCAATTAAAAAGAACAAATAATGATTATTTAACTAACATTTTAAAATTGGTTTACAAAATAATTTTTGGTAAATTCAAAAGTTTGCGGACAAACTAAAGCTTTTAACAATTTCCCCTACAAATTTGCTAATTTGTTGATTTTTTATACAAATACTTTGTGGAAATAAATTTGTGGTTGAAAAATTGTACTATTTAAAAGAATAAAATTTTTAAACTTATCAAAAATCTGCAAACTTTATAAATATATATATATATATATATATATATATATATATATATATATATATATATATATATATATATATATATATATATAATAATAATAATAATAATATATATTATATATTGTTATTAGTATATATATATATATTGTTATTAGTATATATATATATATATATATATATATATATATATATATATATATATATATATATATATATATATATATATATATATATATATATTAATATATATGTTATATATTATATATATATTAATAAAAATAATATATATATATATATATATATATATATATATATATATTATTGTTATTAATATATATATATATATATATATTAATATAGAATATATATTATTATTATCATATAATAATAATATATATTATATATATATATATATTATATATATATTATATATATATTTATATATATATATATATATATATATATATATATATATATATATATATATATATATATATATATATATATATATATATATATATATATATATATATAGAGAGAGAGAGAGAGACATACATACATACACACATAGAGAGAAAGACTCATATTAAAAAAGATATGACAGGATATGGAGTATATATTGTCCTATTAAGAAATTTAAAAAAATTATTGTAAAGACCAAATGACATAAATATTTTATATTACCATTGAAATATTTGGACCATTCTCTGATACAAAAGTGTCACCAGATGAACAATCTACACCAAAAAGAGCACATATGTCACCAGCTTGTGTTGATGTAATGTCCTGAAGAAGAGAAATACTATAAAAAAACATTATTTAAAAAAAGTTTAAATAACTTTTAAATTTTATAATACCTACCTGCATTACATTTGCATGCATTTGAATTATTCTAGGAACTTTTACTTTTTTTTTAGTGCGCGTGTTTACAATCATATCTCCTTTTCCTAACTGGCCTTGGTATGAACGCATGTATGTAAGCTGCCCATAATTACCAGCCTAAATAATAATAACTCAACATAAAGGTTATATATAAATGTATAATATATAAAAATTATATGTGAATAAAAATACCTATATATGTATATACATCATATCTATTGCATATACACCTATGTGAATACACAAATACAGTAGGGTGTTCAAAAAATATATATACATTCAAAACCTGAATACACAAAAAGCCAAATTTGGGGCAAATATTAAAAAAAATTTCCAGAAATATGACTTTTACATTGCGCTCAAGCGGCAAAATACTCCAAAAAATGCCCTAAATTGTTCCTAAATTATTTAGCTTTTTGCGTGAGGTAAACATCAATATAAAAATAGTTTTTTCAAATGGTTGATCTGTCACTATTCTTGCCCCTCCAGAGGGGTCTTGATTTCTTCAACTTTTAGTTTCATAATGGCATGTTACAAAGCTCAATCGTTGTATTCCATTGCATAGAAAAAAAAACTTTTTTGAAATAAGTGAAACGCGTCAAAAATTATTTTTGTTAAATGCTAATTTTCATTTGTAAACTTTTTTGATTTTATTCACTAAAAACTTTTTTATAAATTTTTTTTTTAAAATTACTTTAAATTTTTTATATTTATAAAGTTTGAGGATTTGATGTCTTTTGTTTTATTGTGCAGTTAAATGCACAATAAAACAAAAGTTTTATTGTGCATTTAACTGCACAATAAAACAAAAGTAAAAAATGCAGTTCATAATCTTGTTTAAAGCTTAACAAGTTGTTGTCTTATTTTAAATTTTTTGGTAAAAAAAACCTAACAAATACATATTTTTATATCATTTAAAAGAAAATGTGATAACAAAGAATTTTAACTAGCATATTATTTTCACAATAATTATGTTATTTTTATTATGGATTATTATGCCTAGAAATATTATAACTTAAAATCATGGACTTAAAAGACTTATAATTGGCTGGAGTATATATTACTCACCTCTAGCTTAAAGGCTAACCCAACATATGGCTTTTCAGATGATCCAGAAGAATCAAGTAATATTTTTTCTTCATTGCTATAATAAATTATTAAAAACAAAACTTATTTAAATCTATAAAAGGAACACACACAAAAAAACTAGTTAATACTTTTTAAGTAAAACTTAAGTGTTTTATGAAATGTGTTTAACTTTAAACTTTCTTGACTTTCTATTATAATATAATTAAATTAATAAAAAATTAAAATAGCTTATTATGATAAAATATAAGTTATTAAGTTCTAAGAAAAATATGCAAATTCTGGTAATGTCTTCAAATCATCTTTATTTTAAGATTTTGTAGAAAATAATGAAATAAGAGCACTGTTAAAGTTTTTTTGAAAATTCCTAATAATCTGGGAGATATTAAATCATGAATTTTGCCCATTTTGTAAAAATAATTGTGCATAGAATGCAATGCTACATTGAAGGGAATTTTAGCAACATGAATTTGTGACACACTCCTTTTTTATTTTCCTGCTACTGTGGATAGATTTCTACAGTAAAAATAAAAATTCAATAAGGTTTTACTACTTGTTGTCTAGAAACCACAGTCTAAAATTGCTAAATATAAAATTTTACACATACTTTGAGCATTAATATCTCCTAAGGTCATAACTTGCATATAAATTCCTCAATTGTTTTTGAAAACCATTAAAACATACAATAATTAAAAAAAATCATGTACACGTAAAAGCTTGGGACAGAGTAAGCTGCCAAAAATGGATTTTTTCAGTTAATGGCCTTTGATAGATTATCTACAACAATTGTGGTCTAAAATCTGCTATGAAATTAGTTTTCTTATACACAAATCTTCTGATCTTAAAAAAAAATAAATCCATTTGCTCAAGCAATAAAAAGCCTACACAAGTCCTATAAGTCTTATTTTGCCACATTTTGAACTTATAAAATACCCAAACAATGGTATAGATATGCTTAACAACAGCTACTTACATTGTGAATAATTAGTACTTTAATTAAAAATTAAAATATAAGACATTTACACAACAGAACTCTACAAGAAATGAAAATTATTTTCTAAGGTTTTTTAATGACAGAAAGAACCAAACATCAAACAGTTTGAAGTGTTTATAAATTTCACATAAAAGTTTTTTAAATAAAAAAAAGGATTAGAAAAACACTTTTAAGTATATAAACAAAACAAAGTTTTAAAAAAGTTTAACAATTGCTAAATTGAATTTTCACATTGTCAATGCCGTCTTTAGAGATTAGCCCCCTCTTATTGGCATTGGTGCATCAATCATTCAAATTATGTCAAAAGATGTATATTGGAGGAAATTTATTTTTGGTTGGCCACTTGAAACAGTTCTTTCTAGGTGCGATGGAATATTTTATATGAGAAACATAAATATCATCATCATTAACCTAATGGTTGAGTTAAAAATAAAACAACTTCTAATCATTGGTGCTTTCTGAATATTTTTTACATTTAGATAATGCGATTAATAAGTTAATAATTATAGATTTTAAAATAAAATATTATAGTGTTAAATAGTACTACATTTTGAATTATTGCAGGATTCCATTACATATTATGCTCAATAACAATCCAATTACCAATTTGAACATCAGCAACTCTTTTTCTATCAGCTGAATATTGTCATTTAAAATATCATCATTATTTTGAGTTGCATTTCTTGCATCATCAGTTGCATCAATCCTGTCACCAGTTAGATTAACTTCTTCACAAAACTAGTTACCAGCTTTGCTGCTCTTTTTTGTTTACTTTATCTGAAAAAATATACTCAAAACATGAAGGAAATTGCAAAATATTCATCTTAAGTCCCATGAAAAGTGTAAAGTCACATTTTATATAGTTTATATAAAAACTTATATATATTGGTTATTAGTAAATTAAGTTAATTTACTTAAGAATAATGATTGAACTTGTTGAGTTGTCACATATTCATTTGACTTTAACTTTGTCCTGAGCTGCTGGAAAATCAGTTTAACTTTTGTCAAAAAAACATCAGTGAGAGCAACAAAGTATATCAACAAGGGTTTACTCACATCTATATATGAGTCGTTGAGAGCAAGGGTGTTGTAAGTCAAGAAAAATTGTGATTTAAGTTAAGTCAACGTCTGAATAGTTTATTACTCAAGCAATTATTGGTAAAAGAGATGTAAGTCATATTTATCATTTTCACCACTAGATCGCAGCATGTACTTGATTGTGCTTACTGAAAAGCTGGTTTTTGCTTTGGCAAGAGTGGCCTAAGCCAAATCAGAACTGAAATTGACCACATTGACTTACACAACCCTTGCTCTCAACAACTTATATAGCAGTAAAATATTTTTTTTCCTTATTTGATTATTTTCATTGAAGAAGACATAAACATAGTAGAGTTGTTCCTTCTTCTTACAAAATACTCTTTTTGATCTTCACAGAATTTAGCTAAAAAAATTCTGACAAAAATCTATAGTGGCCAAAATCCACTTTCCTAATAAAGTTGCTCAAAAGCAATTATTAATGATTGACTAAAGAGAGTATTACAAATGATTGTCCAAATGGAATTGCTTACTTTTGCTATCGCATTACTTGAATTGTTAAGTATTTTGTTACATTAAAAATGTTAAGAAAATAATTTTTATCAAGCACTCTTGTAGAGTTCCATTATAAAAATGTCTTTTATCTTAATTTTTAATTAGAGTAATAATTATTCACAATATAAACTAGCCATTGCTAAGCATTTCTATACCGTTACTAGGGTATATTGTAAGTTCAAAATGTGGCAAAATAAGAGTACTTCTAAAACTTTTCAGATATTGGAAAATTTGTGTATAAGAAAACTAAATAACTAATACATTTCATGGCAGACAAATAACTAATACATGTATGTAAAATTTCTAATTTAGCGTATGTTACATAACACATAGCGTATGTTACATGTATGTAAAATTTCTAATTTAGCGAAAAATGAAACCATTTTGAATTTTCATTTTTACTGCAGAAATCTACCCAGAGAAGCAAAAAAAGGAGTGCGTTTCTCAAATTCAAGTTGCTGAAATTCCCCTTTAAAGTAGCATTGCATTCCATGCACAAATATTTTTAAAAAATGGGATAAATTTTGGGACCGTATATCTCCCAAATTTTAATCCTCAAACACGATTTTTAAATTTAAATTTCCTTTTAATCGGGGAGATATTTGATAAAAAACTTAAAAGTGGCCTGATTTCATTATTTTCTACAAAATATCTAAAAATGAAGACAACTTGAAGACATGACTTTCAAACTTTTGCATTATTTTCTTAGATAATTGCTCTTATGTTAACAAGAATAAAATTTCAAATCAAAAACAACAACAGCAACAACTACAACAAAAAATAATATAACAGTAAATAAATTATGAAATATTATTGACTACTTGGATAAAAAAAAAAAAAATTAAGCTTAAAATAATAATAATAAAAAAAAACAGCTATATTATTTGTAAAAGTAAAATACAAGATTAAATAGATCTTTTGTCCTTTGTCAAAAATATAGGAATACACTGCAAAACCTAAAAATGCACTTACTAAAGAATTAGAGGCACACAAAAAAAGAGCAATAAAATTATAAAGTGTTTAGGCAACTTTAAAGAATCATCTCAGGATACGGTATTGATCTTGATAAAACTACTTAAAACACATCATTCAAAGAAAAGTTAGCAAATAAAGAGACCAAAGACAAAGATTTTCCCTACAAAAAAATGGTTATAAAAAAGTCATCATACACCTTGTAATAATTGAAAAAAGCAATTTAAATTCTTAATTGCAATCATTAAAAATAAATAATAAATCTTAATAATTTACTTAAAATAATACTTTGTTGCTTTAAACACCAGAACATGATGTAAATGAACTTTGTGATTATTTTAATTAAATGAGACAATAATGGACAGCATACAGCAAACACAATAATGAACAGCATACAGCAAACACAATAATGAACAGCATACACAAACAAGATAATGGACATCATATAGCAAAAACTGAAAAATGGAGTAAAATCCTAAAAACATGAGCATTTATGAATATACGACAATAAGAGAAAGGCAATTTATGTGTGAGATTCTTTATAATGGTGATGGCAAAACAACATCGAAAACTGGTCTTGCAGAAATTATTTACTCATGTTCTGCTTTCAATGCTGTTGAGAAAATGAAACAACATTTATCTGGGTTTGGCATTAATATGGCCAAAGATGTTATTGGGTTATTGCTAGATGCTAGAAAATTTTCAAAAACTGTAAAGACACAACGCATTGCATTAAACTAACATCAATAAATGTAAAATATTTTTTGTATACACTATTTTTTCCACCGAAATGTGATCAAGTCTTCCAACATCACTTAAAGCGCATCTGTTTTTGATAATTTATTTATATTTGCTATTTATTTTATTATACTATTATTCATAAGCGGTAAAATAAAATTAAACTACAAACATTTTTTATTTGTAAAATTTGAAAACAATTATAAACAGTAGAATTAGTTGGTAACAGCTGTTTTTTTAAGAGTTAAAATAAAGAAGCAAATGTTTTTTGAAAAAGATCATCTTCGAAAAATTCCTACATATTACTAGTACAAATATTTAAATATGATATCATTGTATTATATAGTATAATATTATAATATTAAGTAGATATTATAATATATATATTTATATATTATTATATTATACACAAAAAAAAAAAAAAAAAAAAAAAAAAATTAAAAAAAAAAAATTTAACTAAATTATTTTTTATTGAATTTACTATAAACAGCTAAATACAAAAAAAATTTCAAAGAGTCAAAGATTTTCTTCATTGAGTTGGCTACAATAATCTATTAATGTTGAGTTGGCTACAATAATCTATTAACATTTAGTTGGCTACAATAATCTATTATGTTAATAAACCTAATAAAGTACTACTAAGTTTCTCTTAACTTACTTTGAAGCATCCAAAGCATAATTGCTTTTTTCTTTTGGGTGAGGCAAGTAGTCAACTACACCATCAAGCATTGTCTACAAATATTTAAATAAACTATAACCAAAAAAAAAAAAAAAAAAAAAAAAAAAAAAAAAAAAATTAAATATTTAATTTAAAATAAAGACAATAATTATATTAAACAATTACTTGAACCCCTTTATTCTTAAGTGCAGAACCAAGCAAGATAGGAGTAAATGTCCTGCTTATTGTTGCTCTTCTTATTGCAGCCTTAAATGATAAAACTAAAATAATAAAGCAATGATATATAAATACATGTAAATAAAATTAAATTATTTTACAAAAAAATATCATTTGAAGTTTTATATACAGTTAAATCTTGGTAAGCCAAACGAAGGTTAGATTTTACTTTATCTAATTACTAACTGACAAACTTTAATAAGTGGAGCCATAATGAAACAATTTTTCAGATAACTCAAACTTTTCATATGGATAATAATAAAATTAAAACAATGACTGAATAAGACAATAAAAAATACTTTGATAAATTTTTAAAAAAGAAGCCTATAGGTGTAAGATGGAATTTTAATATCAAATAATAATTTTTTATTATTTGATGTAATCAGCACTCGGTATTAGGAAAAATAAGGTGGGCAATAATTTGCTGACTTTAATCTGTATGAGGTCGGCATCAGATCACCAGAAAAAATTGTAAAACAAAAGGTGATCATAAAACATAGAAACAAGGTTAGTAATTTTTTCCTGATCTCAAACACTTCTAGATTAGCAGTAGGGTCGACATTGTTGAATACCGACCTTTATTCCAAGGATTAGATGTAATTGTATTTCCACTTTTTTCTGTAATTTTTTTTTTTTTAATGAGTTAGCTTATATAGAATATTTTACAGGATACTTGTTTTTTTAACTCAAATTTGGCAACATAAAACAATTGTAAAAAATGTAAAACAACTAAACAAAAGTTGTATACAAAAAGTAAATTTAACTTTAAAAAAAGCTGCATTTAACTCCTTTATTATTTTATTAACAATTTAGTTCATTACCTTTAATTCTTCATTTGATGGCTTTCTTTCTTGTAAGAAAATCTCACCAAGTATCTCATCAGCATTTACAACTGCTTCTAAAATACAATATAAAAAAAACTACATAGCTTTTATTATAAATGTATATGTTGTTACAAACATAAAAAAAACAACTCATTAAACTGCTTAAGTAGTGATACAAGAGAGGTTTTGTCTAACAAAAAATTTCAAACAAACTTTACATACAATTATTTTAAAACTCAAATTAAACAAAATTAAGTACTTATTTTTAGTGACAAAAGAGTTAGATTGATGTAGAAAAAAGTGAATCAAATTATCATGTAATGATTATTATTAGTGTAATTATTAATAAATCCAACACATTTTAATTAAAAATTATTGTAATTTTAGCATTAGGCGATATTTTGTATCTATTGATTAATATTTAAAAAACTTTTAAGTATTATTTAACTTTTTTTGCTTTTTTTCTTCAGATAAGTTTATTGATTCAATGAGGATAATAATTTTTTTTAGATTTTTTAGGTAATCTTGTTTCAAGACATAAATGGATACATTTTTTATCTTCATTTTTTATTTCTAGCATCATTAAAATCTTTGTTTGGTAAAGTTATGAATAATTTTTTATAAAATTTATTAAAAAAAGAAATAATAATAATTAACTGATTTTACATTATTATAATATATAATATTTTTAAATTGGAAGAATTATAAATTAGTTTTTAACAAATTATGTTCACAAATATTTTTGTTTTGTTTGAAATTTATTTAGTTGTTATTTTTTCATTGGTTATATTATTGAATCATATTTTAATAGTTAAAGTTATATTGAGCCTTTTTTAGAACTTACTGTTGTATTGTCATGCTTATATCAGTTAAATTTTACTAAGTTTTAAGTATTACCAATTTTAATATGTTAATATTTTATGAAACTAAAATTAAGTACAATAAGATATATAATCTTTAATAAATATATTATAAATAATATATTAAAAATATTTCTATTATCCTATTAATTATGCCCTGCCTATTTTTATTTACTATATTGCTTATTATCTTATTGACAGTTTTGTGATATAATAAATTTTAATTTTTTTTATTTGGACAAATTAAGAATTTGTAACAAAATAAATTTTCAAGATCTGAAATTAGACAAAATAAAGATAAAATTAGAGATCTGACTTTTGAAAGATTGAAAATCGTTTGAATTAACATTTGAAAATCATTTAAGTTAACATTTTGTAAAGATAATAAGGTCTGTGTGGTTAAGCAAGATGCATATTAATCATCTACTGAATGTAAGAAATGCTGATAGACAAGCTAAAAATAACACTAACCCAATTGAGGACAGTGTGGCCAGACAAGATGAAATTAACCATTAACAAAATGTACAAAATATTGCTAGACAAAGGAGAATGTATTGTATAGAAAAAAATAGTTTGCATTAACTGAAAATATGAGAGTATATCATGTAGAGGGAGAGCTTTTCCAAAGACAACTCAGAAAAAGACTCAATTGTTGAAAAGATATTTAGAGATGTTGAACAAGATGATTATGCTCATTCCAATTCCGCCTACTAATGTGAATTTACTGTCATTCAATAAAGAACTGCTTTTGTTGATTAAAACATATTTAAGTGCTGATAAAATTGGGATTGACAACCATAATGAAGAAAATATCTTTTCTATTGAGCTTTGGAACAACCTAATGCCTTCAGGTACACCTAAGTGACTAAGTTTTCAAAAACTGTCAATATAGAATTTTGGACCCTTCCTAGTAATACTACAATGCCAGTGCAATTATTGCAATGAAATTATAAAAAGCCAAAAATTAAATTTTGTAATCTTGTTAGCCCAGCTACTCCAGAATCTTATAAAGGATCAAGCATTACTGGTGTCTTTGAGAGTAGTTACTCTGGCTAAACATCAACCCTATATAAAAAACTAAAATTAATAGAAATTTGCATATCAAGAACTAACTCAAATTAAAAGGATGTTTTTGAGTTGCAAGTTGACAAATTTATTTTGCTTGCAACATTCCATTACATGCTGAATAATATATAGAACTTAAAAAAACTGTAAATTTTTTGAAACCTGGTAATCCTCTGAACTGGAAGAAACCTTTAGCAAAGTTACTAAATAAAGTTTATGATGAAGTAATTATACCTATGAAAAATGAATTTGCAAAATATAGGAGTACTATTACCTTGATAGTTGGAGCAGTGTCAGTAATAATCGAACTATTGCTAACAGCATACATAATTTTTTTTTTTTTTTTTTTTAACATCTTCACTTCTAACAAGGCTGCAAGCAACCACTATAAGAGTTGGAAGTTACTGGAAGAGAAAAGACTAAATCTGTAGAGCAAGATAGCGATTGACTGATGACTTAAAATATTGCAAATTATATGAATCAGGGAAGCAAGATGACGGAAGCGAATTCCAAAGAACTGATGTTCGAGGAAAAAAACTAGAAGAATAAGAGTTTTTGAAGCACTTAGGAACAGTCACAGAAAAAGGATGAGACTTAATTGAATGACGAGTAACACGAGAATGAATTTTAGTAGATGGCACAAGAGACGCTAGCTCTTTAGAGCAGTGCCCATTATAGTATTTGTAGAAAAAAGAAAGAGAAGCAACATCACGACGATGTGACAAAGGTTGGAGATTAGCTGCCAGAGCAGGTCCAACTATGTTTACAATGCGTTTTTGCACCTTGTCCAAAAGAGAAAGGGCATCATTAGAAGATCCGCCCCAGATGTGGCAACAGTATTCCATACAGGGACGGATTTGAGATTTATAGAGATAGAGAATAGAATCTGGAGTAAGAAAGTGTCGAGCTCGATAAAGAGATGCAACCTTAGCAGATGCTAATTTTGCAATGGATTTGATATACGGTTTAAAAGAAAGATCAGAAGTAAGAGTTAATCCTAGAAGATGAATGGTAGATGACTCATCTAGTACATTACCATTCATAAATATAGGAAGATTTAAATTATTACGATAACGATTGGCCGAATAAAATTGAGTTTTATCTGAATTAAAGTTCACCAGCCACTGTGAGCCCCATGCTGTAGCAGAAGTGAGATCCTTTTCAAGCTCAGATACCCCCTCCAGGCAATCAGAGAGTGTAGGCTTCTTATCATGACAAGAGTAAATGGTAGTGTCGTCAGCGAATAATGCCACCTTAGATGTGAGAATATCTGGAAGATCGTTAATGTAAATTAAAAAGAGTATAGGGCCAAGGATTGAACCTTGAGGAACCCCTGAAGTTACAGGATATAAAGAAGAGTGTTGTTCATCGAGGACAACTTTTATACTACGATTGGAAAGAAAGGACTCAATAATCTTAAAGATGTTACCAGATACACCATAAGAAGAAAGCTAATGGAGAAGACCAGCATGCCAAACTTTATCAAATGCTTTAGAAATGTCAAGTGCGATAGCCTTAACCTCTCCACCTCTATCTAATGCACGGTAAAACCTATCGGTTTTTACTGTTAGCAAATCAGCTGTAGAACGAGAAGATCGAAATCCATATTGATGATCAGAAAGTAAGTTATTTGATTCAAGATGAGAGATTAAGTGTTTGTTGATTAAAGATTCAAAAACCTTGCTTATGACAGGAAGAACTAATTGGACGTTAGTTAGATGAATCAGATCGCTCTCCGGAATTTTTGAAAATAGGGATAACAGATGCTGCTTTCCAGCATGATGGAAAACAGGACTCTGATAAGCACTTGTTAAATAGTTTTGAAAGTATGGATGAAAGCTCCGGAGAACACTTCTGCAAGACTACAACAGGAATGTTGTCAGGACCACAAGCTGTTGAAGAGTCTAAGCAGGAAATTACTTTTGATACAGAAGCTGAAGTGATGCGAATGTCAAGCAAGGGATCAACCTGTTTGACGGCTATGTCAGGTAGAACGCAACTAGTGGAATCGAGAGATGATATTGATGAAAATTTCTTAGCAAACAATTCAGCTTTGTCTTTAGGTGAGGTGACAAAGTCTGAACCATACAAGAGAGAAGGAATAACAGATTTGCCCTTATTATTGATACTGTTAAAGATTCTCCAGAAGTCTCGAGAGCCTAATTTTTGTGATGAGATACAAGATTTTATGACCTGAGAATAGCGAGCTTTGGCGTCAGACAAAACCTTTTTACAATGGTTTCTGGCGATAGTGAACAGATGTCTGTTTTCTGGAGAATTGTTTTGCTGATAGATATGGAAGTAACGGTTTCGATTAGAAATTGCTGCAGCGCAATGTGAGGAAAACCAAGGAGAAGAGTGAGGCTTGACCTGGAATCGTCGAGAGGGAATGAATGATTCCATTCCAGCCTGAATCCACGAAGTTATGTAAGAAGCACATTTGTCAGCAGGAAGACGAAAGATTTCTACCCAAGGGCCATCACGAAGAAAATCACGGAAAGAGTCCCAGTCAGCTTTAAGGTAGTTGTATGTGGTACGATGATAGGGGGATTCTGATGAAGTAATGGGAAGTCCAAATATTTAATCTTCAGTATAGATGCAAAAAGTGAAAAAAAATTAGGGCTTATATGCAAGATATAAGTATAGTAATTTTGGACTGTACTATAGTAATTTAATTTAAAAAAAACTAAAAACAAAAATGTAAAAATATTCAATTGTCTACTTCCAACAGGTATTTGGCATTTGTACAGATAATGAGAACAAAATTAAAAAGATAAAAGAAGTTATTTAGGAGTAATATCCACATTTACTTACAAATGAATGCTCAGCTCATTACGCAGAGAAGCATGACACCGAATTTTCTGGCACATTTGATATAAGATAATAAATACTGAAATCGCCACCAACCAAGTGTGAGTATTAAATACTGAATTCATAATTAGTCACGCAAGAGTAATAAATACTAAAATCATCACTAACCACACATGAGTATTTAATCTTGAAATCATCACCAACCAGGTGTGACTAATAAATACTGAAATCACCATCAACCACGAGTGAGTAAATATCGTTTATAATATATTACTGAATTGTTCTTTAAACAGTTAAAATTTTTTTTACCTTTAAGGGAACCTTAAAGGTAAAAAAAA